CATGGGGTGGCCAGTTCCGTCTGTGACTGCTTGAAGGGAGTGAGCGGTACAGACCTGTGGTTGGGCGTGAGGGAGCGCCAGGAGCTGGCTGGCCCCCAGGGGGCAGGGCGGCGTTTGAATCTGGGGCTGCTCTACTGCAGGCCAGCCACACCTTCTACCCTCAGGGCCTCCCCTGGGCCCCACCAAGACCTCAGGCTGGCACCAAAATCCCTCCTTCCTGGGTTCTGCCCCCCAAGATCAGATGCAGCTCAGAAATGCCTCCTCCAGGAGGTCCCATGTCCCTCCCTGTCTCCCTGCTGCCCTCGGGAAAGGCCTCTCCCGGCCTGGGAGGACCCTCGATGCCCGGATGTGTGTGCCTGTCTCAGGCCTCAGGCTGTTGGGGTGCAGCTGAAGACTGCCCACTGCCTGTCCCACGTCCCAGCCTCCAGCCCAGGAGCAGGGAGAACAAAGCAGTGGATTGAGGGGGGGGAGGGGCCGCCCGGCACTGCCAGGGGCTGCGGCTAGGGCCCTGGGGACAGAGGACGGCTCAGCTTCTGGGTGAGATCAGGCTCTGCCACGGCCTGGCTGTGTCCCTTGGACAACCCACAGGACTTGCCAGGGCCCTGGTTGCAGTCCTCCAATGGGGACGAGCATGTCAATGCCCACCCCTGAGCCCGCTGATAGATCCACAGGACGCCATCTGTAAGCCGGGCCCTGGAAATTCCCAAGTGCCCACCCATCCACTGTGTCCACTGCCGCCTCCTCCTCCTCAGCCAGGCTGCCGGGGGCCAACATCGAGCTGGGATGCAGCCCCCACTCGGTCCCTGGACCCCCAGGCTCAGCGGGTGAGCAACACACTCAGTGTCCAGCACGAGACACCCTGAGGCATTCCTTGCCAGTTGCCTAGGGCCAGGCCCATCGAGGATTTGGTTTTCTCATCCTAAAATGGCCAGGATGTTCTCCAGGGATGCTGGGTTGGCTGAGCCAGTTCCACCTGCTGGCCACTAGGTCTGCCTGGCCTGCACGGTCCCTCCTGGGCTGGGCCCCCCACCTCCTCTGTCCCCACCTCCATGTAGCCCGGAAGCACCAGGCAGGGCCGTAGGTGCCTCCAAATGGGCAGGATCCCATCTGGGCACTTGGGGCTTCTGTTCTCAGACACTCATGTCTACACATGGGGAAGGTAGAGACAGGCAGGGAAGGGGGACAGGGAGTGCCTCCCCCCCAGGGCCAGCCAAAGAGCAGGCGTTGGCCTCCCTGCTCTTGTGTGGCAAGCTATACTTGAGCAGAAATGGGGACCTGGGCATGGGGACACAGACGGCGGGGGAAGCAGGCTGCACACTGAGGCCACACCCGGGGCCCAGGAGGATCTGGGACCAGGCACAGACGGGGAGACTGAGGCCCTCTGACACAGCTGGCCAGGGCCCATGCTGACATCCACACTCATGTCCACCAGCACTCGGCAAGGCCAAGGTTGAGCTCAGGAACAGAGAAACCCCTGCCCCACAGGGTGTGTGTGTGAGCGTGTGTGTGAGTGTGCGTGTGTGTGTGAGCGTGTGTGAGCGTGTGTGGGGACGGGCACTGGCTGGGCATGATGGGAGCTGGGGATAGTGCAGGGAAGCCATCACCCAGGGCTCCGTGTGTGTGTGCGGAACTGGCCTCCTCCCCTCTGACCCACTGTGCCCTGGCTTAGCCTCAACGCCAGGCTTGGAGGTTAGGCCTCAGAGGCACCATCTACTAAATGGGAAGCACAGTCTGCCCCCACCCCCCCAAGTGTGTTTCCTGACTGGTCTCCCACCCATGCATGGCTCTACCCGATGACCTTCAGTGGCCCTGGCCACTCACTCCGGCTCGGTGGGGCTCTGCCTTCCCTGTGGGGTCGCCCAGGCCAACCTCATGGGAGCAGGGGGCTCTCGTCCACCTTCCAGCCCCTCTTTTCCCGCCTGGACCCAGCTCACAGGGAGGGGGTGGTGGAGGGTGCTGCAGCAGCACATGGGAGGGTGCCCTGACCAGGGAAAACTGCAGGGATGAGGTGGGTCTGGGTGGAGGGGAGCCGGGAGGGGGGCAGGCCAGAAGAAGGCGTTCTGTCCTCAGGTAGCCCCGGGGCAGGGGCCTCTGTGTGGTCTAGTCGTACCAGCATCTGTGACCACCCCCCAGGTCTGCATGGGCTGCTCTGGAGTCACACAGGTGGGTGCCCCGGTGCCCGCCCCCTCCCCTGTTGGGAGTCCCAGGGGTGCTGCTTGGCCAGGACAAAGCTCTCTTATTCCTGGAGTGGTGGTGCTGGGACCCCACAGGTCTCTGTGGTGGTGACGAGGGACATGGGGCTAGCCTTGGCTTCCAGGTGCCCTCCTGGGGCCAGTCAGTTCTCACCTTGACCCTGGGGAAGCACTTCCTGTACGCCCGCACTCTAGCCCACTGGAGCAGTGAGGTGAGCATAGAAGCTGATGCACACAGTAGGGGCTTTATAAATGTGTCCTGCCACAATGGCACCACTGATTCTACAACCCAACAGCCTCGTGCCTCAGTTTCCTCTTCTGGGAAACAGATGATAATCACAGTACCCATGCCTCACTGGGTCGGTGTGAGGGTCGGAGGCCATGGGGCGGGAACGTGGCAGGCTGGCTCATTCGTTCCTGTGCTCATTCGCTCATTCTGCACACAGACCCTGCTCAGGGCACTGGGCAATGCTGTCGTGCACAGGCCAGGCTCTGCTGCGCACCTGGCAGAGCGGGGCCGGAGAAGCCCCACACCCAGTCCGTCCCTTCCTTAGTCACACCTGGGGAAGGTGCAGGCCCACCCTGCCCCTCTCTCCCTGTCTGCCTGGGGAGGAGGCTGGCGGTCACCGCCAAAGAGCTTCCCTTCATCTTGGAGTTTTCTCTCCACGCTGTGTAGATGGGGCAGCTGTATGAACAGACCCCACACCCACTCAGGACCAGTCTGCCCTGTGTTCAGAGGAGGAACGGGCAAGACCCTCCTTCCCAGGGTGATGCTGGTAGGCAGCCGGGGTCAGACCCGGCTCTCACACCTCCAGTGATGGGGAGCTCAACCCCTCACATGCACTCCTTCCTTATGGGTTGAAACCAGCCTCCTCATCTTGGGCATCCAGGGTCCCCCAGGCGTGGCGCTGTCTGGGGACAGCCCCCAAGAGACTGGCTCCTGCCTGGCCTCAACCTATCCTGGGCTGTCTCCTCTAGACCCACTTCTGTCCACTGTCCTGAAATAGAGGTGGACATGCCTTTCCCAATCCACTGTGTCCACTGGGCCTCGAACCATGCAACTACTAGATACCCGCTGTGTGCAAGCCCAGAGCAGGAAGGATCCAGGCAGCTTAGTCAGACCCCCATCCCTGACTGTGGCGGAACTTTGCCTCCGGTTCCTCCTCTGGGTGCCCTAGAGAACACTCCCTGCCCTGGTCCAGAGCCAGGGCGACCGCATCATGCCCTGCACCTGCCAGCAGTGCCCGACATTTTCCCGCTGCCTTCCATCCCTCCCCAGCCCTCAGGCACCTGTTAACTTTTCCAGCCTGGAAAATCACTGCACTTTGATGAAAGGCGAACAGAGTGTATGTAAGGTTAGGAGCTCCCGGGTCCCGGCATGTGGGGTGTGTGCAATTAGCTCCGACAGCCATCAGCACCCCCACAGAAGGGAGGGGGCCTCACCTGAGAGTTAACTCTCTGCTGGAAAGCAGTGCAACCTTGACAGACAGATCACCCTGGTCCCCTCCCCAGCAGGGCCCCTTGGATGACCTGTCCATCAGCCCCGAGCTCCTCGGGGGAGGCGGAAGGTGGGGCCTGGGCAGGGGTCGGCTGGGGGCTACTGCCCAACTTGGCTTTTTAAATCAGGAGTTGGTGCTGCCCTGGTGAGGGAGTGTGGCACTGAGTGTGAGGCCCCAGACTCCAGACCTGGCACTGAATGCGGTATTTGATACCCCAGGTCTGCAGCACCCTCTCCCCAAAGGCTCCCTGCCCTGGACAGCACCGTGGAGGCGTCTGAGGCATTTGCTCTGGGTCTCTTCCTCTCCACTGAGAGCCACAGGGAGGAGGTCCATGCCTGAACCACTGTCCCCATCCTTCAGGGTGCAGATGGGGAAACTGAGGCCCAGAGCAGGTAAGAGTCCCGCCCAGGTCCCACTGCCTGAGGGGGCAGGAGGCGGGGCTGGTGGGAAGGGAAGTTCCCAACTGCAGCTCTCCCAGGGTCATGGCCATCTCCGCCTACATGGACTCCTGGTGTGGCCGGCCAGGATGGGGCACTAACGCTGTGGTCACAAACTGAGGCCAGCCACCATCCTGGGGCACTAGGTTACAGAACCTCAGGAGGCCAGGCACACAGAACCCCCCGCCTGAGCTCTCCGGGAACAGCTGGGGGCTGAGGGAAGTGGTGACCCCAGTTCCTTCTTGAGGTCATGCTCATTCCTCAGTTCCCTCCTTAGGAAGGAGGTTCAGGGGTGGGGCTGGAGGAGCACAGAGCCAGCCTCCCACCCCCAGGCTTACCAGCCCCAGCCAGGGGGAACCCCGAGCAGTGATGGGGGCTCATGCCCCCAAGGCCTGCCTGTGGGGGTGCCAGGGCCCCCTGTGCGCCCACCTGCGCCCAAGTAGCTACAGACACAACAGCACAGGCGGGACCCCCGGCCGGCGCGCGCCTCGCGGGGCTACCCGGGCTGCCGACCCGAACTTGAAGTTTATTTTCCCAACTGTGGCTGATTCATGGTCAGGATGTGGCGGCCGCGGGGAGGGGAAATTCTGCCCGCAGCGGGCGGGGCGTTGGCCGGGCTGACCCTCGACCCACCACCGCGGTCAGTGCGTGCGGGCCACGTCTCCGCGCGGGGGTCGGCAGTCCGCGGTGGGCTGCGCCCTGGTGCGAGGGGCTCCTGGGGCGCCGCCCCGGAGCTGGGAGCCCGGAGCCCGCCGCCCTGGGGCGCACCCCGCGCTGCCCCAACCCCCCTCCCCGGCCCCAAGAGCTCCCTCGCTCGGACTCAGTTTCCCCTGCGGCTCGTGGGGGGGGGGTGCGCAGAGGCGCGGACTTACCGGGCTGGGGCGCGGCGGCGCTCGCTCGGGTCGGGCCAGGGGCCGCTGCTGCCGGCCCACCGCGGGCTCCGCACCGCTCGGGCTGGGCTCGGTTTCGGCTGGCTCGGGCTGGGCTCCCGCTGTGCGGGGCGCGCGGAAGAGGAGGTGCCGCCCCGCCCCGCCAGCCCGCGGCCACGTGGGGAGCGGGCGCGGCCCGGGGCGGAGTCGGGGAGGGGTCGCCGGGAGGCCCCGCCCTGCCCGGCGGCGGCGGCGGCGGCGGCGGCGGCGGGTGCGCCAGCCGGGGGCTCTCCCCTCGCGGGGCGGTACTCCCGCGGCCGCCGCCCCCGGAGGTCGCCCCTTCCCCACCCTGCTGGCCTCGCTCCTGGCGGGCGGGGGTGGCGGTGGGCCGGAGCACACGGAGCGGGGGCCTGGGAAACAACTGGAAGCGGTCCCCCCACTCAGACCTCACTGCGGGCCGCCTCCCTGGTCTCCCCTGCGCCCCATGTTCTCGCCTCCGACCCTTCCGCCGGGTCCAGCCCCCCCTGGCAGCAAGCTGTCTGACCCGCTCAGCCACAGGGCTCGGGCAAAGTCAAAGTCGGGCTGTCGTTCATCTGCCTCTGCCCCCTACCTGGGACCCCTGCTCTGGCCAGCTGGATCCTGCGCCTGAGGGTCCCTCCCCTGCGGGCCTCTCAGCAGCCCTCTCAGGGCCCACCCAGGATGGGGTCTGAGGGGTCTGGGGCAGCCTGAACTGGCTGGGCCTGCAGGCAACAGGCCCGAGGAAGCTGCCCCTGCTCGCGGCCTCCAGGAGTGCTGTGGCCATGTTCTCTGCCACGCCTCTTCTTGCCCTGCCTCATCAATCCTGCTGGACTGCAGGACCTGGTCCATGACCCCCACATTGCCCAGGGGGGCCTGCCCATAGCAGGCTCAGGAAGCCTGGCTGACCCGCTAGGGAGAGGCGGCCCCCAGCTCTGGAAGTCCCTTTTGATATCTAACCCTCAGTTGGAGCTCACAGGGAGCAGATTGCCCCAGGCCTGAGGGCCCAGGGGACCATGGGTGCATCAGGGGGCAGGTGGAGGCAGGCGGGGCTCTGTCCAACCCTGGTCTGACAGCGGAGACATAGCCCCTGCCCTGAGGGCCCGGCTCCAGCACTCAGTGTGTAGGTCTGGCCTGGACATCAACTTCAAGCCTCAGCTTCCCCACCTGTCAAGGAGAATGACAGGAACTTCTAAAGCTTGTAATTAGGGCAAGATGAGAAAATGCGGATAGAGCATCCCTGTCCCTGGGTTTGTCTGACAAACGTTTCCAGAGACCTGTGGAATTCAGACCCTGGGGAGGCCGGCCGGGTGGGTGGGACCGACTGACAATGGAAGGGCATGAGGCAGGGGGCAGGGCACTGGGTGCAGATGCTTAGGGCCAGGTGCTTTCCCAGCCTTGCCCCAGCTTCTGCGCCAGGACCCACCGTGTGCCTCTGTCGGGTGGGAATAGGGCCTGTAAATGCCCACTCCCTGCCTCTGCCCGGCCCAGGAAATCTTGGGTCAGCCCCAGTGCAGGAGTGGCTTCTGGCAACAAGCCAGTGCCGGATGAGGGCCCCTGAGTACCTAGGAGAGCCAGCCAAGAAAGGTGCTTGCTGACTCTTGGACACCCTCCAACCTGGAGATGCGGAGATGTGATGGCCACTCTTGGATGGGGACTCAGCAATTCTTGGAATGCGCCGAGTCCTTGCACGGGCGAGTGTGCCTCTGCCTGGAAGGCTGGCCAGCCCTCCCCTATCTTACTCCCTGCCCCTCTCCTTGACCCTCTGAGCTTCAGGGCCTCCTCCTGGATGCCTTCCTACCCTCCCTGGAGCTGGGTGTCAGGCCTCTCCATGCTCTCCTCGATCCCAGAGCCTGACACCCAGCGTTGGCAGGACCTGGAGGTGGGGCAGGAGACACGGGCTGGCTGACTCACTGCTCTCCTGAGCTGGCGCCTGGCTGCTACTGGCTGTGGTCAGTGGGTGTATTTGTTGACCTGGTGGATGGAAGAATGCAGTGGAGGAAAGGGTGACCTTCTAGCCTTGGGCCTGGGCTTGGGAGGATGGCCGAGCCGGGAGCTCAGCGTTGAGCAGGATCTCTGTGCCCTGCAGCCCTACTTTCACCCCCAGGGCCTGGGGAGTGGGCAGAATCCTGAGCCTCACCCGGAGACTGGGCGGAGGCCTGGCCTGGCCAGGGTCTGCATCCCAGCCAACTGGCCAGCCCTACTGCGGCCCACTCAGCGGTGAGGCCCCCTGCCCCAGTGGAGGAGAGGGAGGCTGCAGGTGGCCGGCACCAGCGGGGCGGGCTCCTGCCCAGGGCTTTCTCCCTTGCGTACCTGCCTGGTGCAGGCAGGCCCTGGGACAGGAGTCCCCAGTCCAAGGCCTCATGGGCAGGCACCAGGGAGAGGCACATCTGTGCTGCACCCTGAGGGCAGAGTCAGTTCACTGCAGGCCAACGGGTAACCACTGGAGCCGGATGAAGACAGCAGGGAGTGTGTGTCTCTGTGGGGCTGTGTCCATGTGCAGTGGGTGGCCGAGGTCAGGGGCCTGGCAGGTTGCGGGTATGGACACTGCTCTCAGAGTGGCTTTCCCTCTGGCCTTGGGCTCTGACCCACCATGCCTCAGCTTTGTAAGGCTCATCCTGCCTTAACCACCGAGACCCCCCAACCTGGGTCCCCATTTCTTCTAGTGACTCTACACCCCCAGGCACACCCCATCCAGACCTCCTTCTGACCTGGTTTCCTGTCCCACCTCGGAAACTTCCTGCAGCCAGGACAGCACACTCAGCCCGTCTAATGATGGATGTTCTTTCCGGAAGCCATGTCCCCCTGGCAGGTCTCTTCCCGGGTCCTGGGTCTCTTTTCGGAGCTGGGGGTGCACCTGTGCCTATCTCCAGCTCTGGATACCCAGATGCCTGAGGACAAGGAACATGCTGGAGCTCCAACACGTGGCCTACCGCCTCTGACACACTGGCTGGCGACCACGTGGCGCTGGGGCCTGACACTGGGGGAGCACGCGCCCCTCCTCCACGCTCCGGCAAAGCAAGGGTGCCCTCCCACCCCCCCGGACCTGCACAGAGCTGGCCACCGCCTCTCGTCAGGAAGCAGAACTCAGAGACTGGGATGAGCATGCTTCGGTTCTGCCAGTGTGAGCGGTGCTGGGAGCAGGAAGGCAGGCGTGGGCACTTCTCAGAGAGCGGTCTCCCTGCCTGACGTGTGATGCGGAGGTGAAAGCCACGACAAACCTGAGTGTGCTGGGGGGGGCACCCATGAGCCCAGAGGGGCCCCCAGGGGCCCCCAGAGACCCTGGGCAGCAGCCTGGCCTTCAGTTTCATTTCCCTGGACAAGCACCCAGAATGCCCTTTATTGCTTTCATTTTGAAACATTTTTCCTTTTGTTTCCTTCCTGGGATGCCCTGAGATGATCTCTGACACTGCTACAGAATGGAGTCAGCAAAAGCATGCGGAACCACTGACCCACCCCTGTTCACCCATCCTTCCGTCCACCCACCCACCCACCTGTCCACCCATCCTTCCATCCACCCACCCACCTGTCCATCTGTCCATCCACCCACCCTTCCGTCCACCCCCCTGTCCATCTGTCCTCTATCCACCCACCTGTCCATTTGTCCATCTACCCACCCACCCACCTGCCCACCCACCCACACACCCACTGGTCCATCCATTCATCTACTTCAGGGCTAGTTCTACCTGGTGAGTAAGAATCTGGGTACCCAGCCTTGCCCCAGAGCAGCTGCGGCACCTCGGGCAGCCATTCTCCCTCTGTGCTCGTCCATAAGGACACCATACCTCTGGTCACCTCCGGAAAGGGAAGCTGTAGTGGGAGGCAGGGCCTCCCAGCGTCCCTGTCTCTCCCTCAGCGCCCTGACCCCTTGGCCTCAGTACCTGCTCACGGCAGCCTCTCAGAGTTTCCCAAATTTCCTCTGTGTTCCCAGTTCAAACTGTAGGGAGCCCCTGAGTACCAGGCTGTTGGTGGCTGCTTGCAGGAGGCTGGGGTCAGTCTGGGCCTACCCCTGGTCGGGGATCGGGGTCCAGGAGATGGGACCACACAGCGGCTCTCAGGAGGGACAGTGGCCAGGCGGGTCAGTAGAAGCTTGGGTCAGGGAGTGGCCTCTCCCCCCTTCATTTGAACACCCACACACACTCACGGACACTCATGGTTTGTGAGCTTCCCTACTGGTTAACACGTATTTCTAACCCTAAAACCACAGCCATTTGGGAACATGCCCAGGGCCGCAAACACTTTGAGTCCCCAGACGAGCAGGTCCCCAGCTGAGGTCAGAGGAGGCGACGCCCTGCCTCCTGGTCTCATTCCACACTGTGAGCAAGGGTCCTTCTCCGCCTGTCCAGCACGCATGTTCCGCATTTTTGTCCTTTTGTTGGAGATTTCGCGGTTGAAATGGCTGGGGCACGCCTCCCGAGAACACCTGTGTCAGGAGGCTTCCTTCAGGGGCCGGTTATAGAGCGGCCGGCCGGAGCTCGGAGGGAGCGAGCCCGCCGCCTACAGATCCTTGAACAACACAGATTTGAACTGGTGGGTCCACTTAGACACGGATTCTTTCTCAATAAATGCAGTCCAGTGCTGTAAATGTATTCTTATGGTTTTCTTGGCTATGTGTTCTTTCCTCCAGCTTTGTCTGTTATAAGACTACGGCGTGTAATACATAGAGCGCAACGTGTATTAACTGATGGTTTGTGTTACCGGTCAGGTTTTGGGGCAGTTAAAAGTTATACGGGGATTTTCGACTGTGTGTGGGGGGCGGTCAGCACAGATTTCAGGGGTCAATTCTACACTAAATTAGGTGTCTCTAACCAGAAACATACACAGAACCAGGTCACATGTTGATTAGTCGGTGACATGTTGGCCAGAGGCTGGCCGGGCCCTGACCCTGGTCCCCTAGAAGCAAATCCGGTGTTAGTGGTGACCATAGACCACCACCGCCAAGCCCCAGGGCTGCCGAGACTGTGGGGGCCCCACCGCTGAGGGCAGGCACGGGGGACCTGCTCCTCTGCAGGCCAAGGATG